CAGAGCTGTCATCGTATTACCCTTGATGTCCTGAATGTCATCAAAATGTCTTCCTTTCAATATTTCCTTTATCTTCAGGTAAAGAAAGAAGTCACTGGGGGCCAGATCATGTGAGTAGGGAGGGTGTTCCAATACAGTTATTTGTTTACTGGCTAAAAACTCCCTCACAGAAAATGTGTGAGCTGGTACATTGTCGTGATGCAAGAGCCATGAATTGGTGAAAAGTTCAGGTCACCTAACTTTTCAACGCAGCATTTTCAGCACTTCCAAAAAATAAACTTAGTTAACTGTTTGTCCAGTTGGTACAAATTCATAATGAATAATCCCTCTGATATCAAAAAAAGTTAGCTAGATCGTTGCAATCGGTTTGCGAACTTAATTGTCCGAGATCAGGTCAGAAGTGGGTCACTTAAAATTCGGTAAATAACACAAAATGTAAGAGGTGGCCATGCAAGCCCTCTGCAGGTGCTGGAGGGGCCAGTAGGTGTGGGTGAATAAGTTCTAGAACTCCTCAGGCTAGGTGCTGGGCAAGTGCAAACCCTTATCTCATAAACATAATTAAAAAAAAAACAAAACAAAACACTACATAAAGAACAAAGAATTAAAAGAATTTTAATAAAATCAACAAGTTTACATTTGTACATCTTGTGTGTTTGGGACCCAACCAGGGGCGAAGGGGAAAGTTGCAAAGACAACGGTTTCCGTAGGGACAGCAAGCAAGAAGCAAGGGCTACCCTATCTGTGTGATAGGCGTCAGCTGAATGGTGCCACCCCACGGCCACCTGAGCCTCCCTGCGTTATGGAAGTTCGCAGGCACATTTATTCCTGGGTGAGGGCGTTCCAGCTCTGAGCACAGGCCCAGTGTGCCACAGCCCACACGGCACTCCCACCTTAACACTTGGTAGGCAACTGCAGATTAACATTTCATGGAATTAAATAGTATTGCCCATAGTAATGGCAACTGAGTTCATTCATGCTGTTTTAACTATTGTAGAATGGTTACACTGAAACTCGGGAGGGGAAACAAGGGCTGAGTGAGGGCTCTAATTGCTCGATTCAACAGCACAGTCACAAAACAGCAGGCCTGTAGAAAGAACCATGTGTTTCTTTTAAAAATATGATTTAAGAAAAGAGCCTTGTGGGAGTTCAAGAAAGGTATGGTTAACACAGGAGATAATTCTGCACAGTGCCACAGACTTCTGCCTGTCCTAGATGATTCAGTGGAGGTGGAAAACAGTTCAACTTTAATTCCCATTATTCTAAAGCATAACAAACGTTTCAAAATATTGATCAATGTTCAGAGAAAAAAGAGACTAGTGCCCTCGAGTTAGGAATGAGCAATTGCAAGCTTTTTCAAGATTTTACCCATTTTGAGTACAGAGACACAGTGCTTTTAAAAGTGCAATGTTGCATGTACAAACGTTCTTTAAGGAGTAAATCCAAGCTCACAAGTTGTGATGACAGTGCACAGTAGTCGTATGACGATTCCACAACATTCATCCACAGGGTGAAACTCATGACCGGGCTTTGAACCCATTACCATTTACACATCGTTGGTGGAGTTACAAGGAGAGCTTCTTCACTTATTCTTCAGATCATCGAGACATAGTTAGGAAAGAGTGCATGGATGCCTTTGCTTTCTTGGCCCAGTTAGCATTACAGAAGGAAAATGAACACTGACCATTATTGGCAGAGAAAAAGTCTTTTAAAGAACGGAGAATGAGCTCTCCACGCCCTCTCTGTAAGGCTTTGGCTGAAGGAGAGGCTTGCACCAGGATCCTCTCCTCTCACACAGAAACTGATGCTTGTTTTCAAAGCGCTACACCAGGGGGTACAGTATCTTTGTTGTTAGTGCCTTAACAGAATCAGTAATCAAAATGAAGAGACTCAAAAGAGGGCAATAAAGGAACAACAGCTTCAGCCTCCCTGCCACATTTGTCAGGAACACAAAATGAATGTCCAGTCTGAGGACCGAGAGGCAGTTTTCCCATGTGGTCAGGACACCTCGGAGCAGGCCTGTAAAGTGCTGGGAGGTAAGGCGGCCTGACAGACCTCGGAAGGGGGTGTGGCATTACCTTCAAGAAGGTGACATCTCTGCCATGTGCGAAGGCAGCTGTCACCCACTGCCTGCCCTGCTGAGGGTGTGAGGGTAAAACCGGCCTCTCCTGAAAATATGCTCAGTTTGCGCTCATAACATTTCCCTTTTAATTTCCCCAGTATTCAGTAGGAGGTATGTTTTAACACGAAAAAACACCCCTCACAAATATGACAAATTTCTAAACAAGAGCAAATCTACAAAGATGATGTAATTTCAAATAAAAATTCTTAGTTACACACATGAATCGTGGAGTTTCAGATCAGCAGATGATGCGACAGTGAAGGGGCACACACGTGGCCCTTCCCCACCACGGGTTCCCTTTGCGCTGTCGTCTTCAGGAAGCGGAGGGGACAGCTTCTCTCTTGCACTTCATCAGTTTCTTATAGGTCTTCACTTGCCAGGCAGCCAGAAGCACACAAAGTTACCCCGAAGGGAGTGCTTGGGTAAACAGGCAGAGCCTTTTCCGGGCTGAGAGCCAGAGGGGAAGCAGGAAGGAACAGAAAC